CAAAAATAAATAAACGTGGAAAAAAAAAATTAAAAAAAAAAAAAAGAAAAGCAAAATTATTCTTGGTAAGCTATTATAAATAACTCTAAAGTAGCTTATTTTCCACCTAATTCAAAATGCCTCTGCTGGGGCTGCAAACAATTTCTTCCTTTCTCTTCGGTAGATTCTAAGAGTTGTATCATTATTTTAGAAGTATGCCTGTCCTTCCTTTACTTTTGGGATTTTAACTCAGGTGTTTTTCACTCTAATCCCAACTAAGTCCTTTAATCATTTCCTCAGTTTGCTTTTAACACACTAATAATAATAATCTTCACGGCTCATCTTATGACTAAAACTAAACATCTCCATGTCTCTTACTAGAACAGGTAGAAAGCACCCCATTCTTTTTTAAGTTTATTTGAGAGAGGGGGAGAAGGAGAGAAAGAGCACTCACATGCAAGTGAGTCGGGAGGAGCAGGGAGAGAGAGCTCGAGAGAATCTTAAGCAGTGCAAAGCCTGATCCCACAAACCCTGAGATCATGACCTGAGCCTGAAATCAAGAGTCAGATGTTTAACGGACTGAGCCACCCAGGTGCCCTGAACATACTCCATTCTTACTGAAGTACTGCTATACTGGAAAAGGATAGGTAGCCTGGTGCTCTTAAGTTGTTGATTATTCTTCCCCTTCCCACCAGACAGCAAACACCTGCCTTTCTATTCTCCTTCTTTTATTTTCTTTCATTTCCCTATCATACACCTCAGACTTCCCAACTGTATAAAACACCTTACCAGGTGCAATACTTACTGCTTATCATGATTAACTCTTCAAAAAATATTGTATTATGGGGTGCCTGGGTGGTGCAGTCGGTTAAGCGTCCGACTTCAGCCAGGTCACGATCTCGCAGTCCGGGAGTTCGAGCCCCGCGTCAGGATGTGGGCTGATGGCTCAGAGCCTGGAGCCTGCTTCCGATTCTGTGTCTCCCTCTCTCTCTCTCTGCCCCTCCCCCGTTCATGCTCTGTCTCTCTCTGTCCCAAAAATAAATAAACGTTGAAAAAAAAAATATTGTATTATCAAAAAGACTCTGTCCAATGGATTCCTCTCTAGAAGAGACTGTAAGTATCTACTATGCCACAGAAGGTCTTTGTATTTTGAAACATACCAAAAGCCTTTTGACAAAAACATGTAAATATATTAAGTGGTAAAGAGGAGTATAACTATAGAATTCTTTTGAGAAGCACTTATTCCAATAAATGAGCTGCGTAGTGATTTTCAGCCTACAATTGCATACAGCGGTTTTCAAAGCCCAAGGCACATATTAAGATATTCAGACCAGGAAAGCCCCCAAAGCTACCTGGTTTCTTAGCTGCTTAATAGCAGTTCTGTAGCCTGGAGATAAAAACCAATGCCCAGCAACCACACCTTAAAAGTGCCCTGGGCAAATAAAAATGTAGAAAAACTTAATAAAATTGATTTCAGTCAAATTAACTGAGTTAACTATTACTGTTACTCTCCTAATGTTGCCAACTGTTACAAATGCTAGATTCAAGATTTTACTGCTTCACCTCCTATAAGCTGTTGTCTTACTCCTGTGGCTTTCAAATTTTTTAATACAACTTCGGAAAATTTACTGGTCAGTATGGACCCTCTGCCCCACAAAAATACAGTTTTTAAGGCTTCTTGGATTTAAATCCCATTCCTAGACTCTTGAGTTAAGAGACTCCTGATTTCATTCTCCATCACAATCTTACAGGGTAGACATTATTGTAACTGAACTCCATTTTCTCAGAGGGACCGCATGATTTCCTCAGGCCTTGCAACTATTAGATGGTTAAAAGTTGGTCTGACTCAACCGGGAGCCTGAGTGGCTCAGTCGGTTAAGCGTCCAACTTCAGCTCAGGTCATGATCTTGTGGTTCGTGAGTTTGAGCCCTGTGTTGGGTTCTGTGCTGACAGCTCCGAGCCTGGAGCCTGCTTCTGATTCCGTGTCTCCCTCTCTCTCTGCCCCTCCCCTGCTCACACTCTGTCTCTCTCTGTTTCTCAAAAATGAATAAACAAAAAAAAAAAAAAATTTTGTTTTAGGTTGGTCTGACTCAAAACCTGGCATTCTTTTTACACCACTACATTCTTCTTTGAACTTGAACTGGGTTTTCTAGTATATATTTCCTCATTTTGTCATTTCATGTTCAAGACAAAACTGTCCAATTTTTAGCTTCTTGTGGGTTTATGCAGAGGAGGTATTAGAGATCACTAGTGTTAGGTCCCTGCCTGACTACCAAGAGAGCTTTTGGTCTAAGATCTGGCAGGAAAAGGCAGACTGCATTAGTTCACATATTGCAAACTTCAAATTAACAACACAAGGAATAACCCCAAGTTCTCTAGCATAAAGAGAACTCCATGCTGTCAAGAATATGCCTGTGACCATTTTCCACAGTAATGTTCTACAATTCTTGCACAAAGTGACAAGGCTACTCTTTGTTTAGTAAATGGTATAAATTAAACAAACACTTGATAAATGCACATAACCAGAATGGAAGTCACCATTTTATAACAACTAAAAAGCTCTTTAGAAAAACTTAGCTCCTTTTTATGAGAAAAGATCTTAGCCAGTATCATATAGGTGCTTGACAGAACAATGAAGTCTGGTTCATCACTGATGCAACCGCAACAAAAACATTAAATTCTGAAAAGGGATTACCTGCTTATTTTTCTCAAATGAAAACAAAAACAAAAACAAAAACAAAATCAAAGTTCAGAAAAAGCTAGAATAAAAATTATGATTACTTTTTACCATGTGAGACCTTAAAATATAATTAAAACAACCTTTCACTAATCATCAAGTACATCAAAAATTTTTTTCTCTACGAGAAATGGCAGTTCTTCCGTATTTTATTCTTCCATTTTATTTGAAGGGGAAAAAGGAATTTTATGTAAGCTATTTCCAGAGCCAACATGACCTGTTTGAAAAAAGATGATAGGCCTACTTGTAAAGAACCACAGTATCTGTAAATACTGAATTTTCCCAAGATGAAACAGAAAAGGCCTTGGAAAATTAGCAGTGCTGCTGACCTAGTTCTACTACCCTCTTTTCCAAAAGAAGGCTTTTTGTTCATTTACTTAGCAAATACTTGAGTACATACTATATGTTAGGAAGCATGAACCACGCAAAGACCACTAACAAAGCAGAGCTGAAAGATCTACTTTTAGATCACCAAAAGACCAAGGCTGGAAGCAAAACTTTGTTTAGCTTTTGTATAGTGAAGGAATAAAACTTTGATTTATCTATATGCTCAAGGTGGAAATTTCACTCAGGCTTGGTGAGAGGCCAGTACTATTCTGAAGGATAACATGGGTAGTCACCAATACCAAGCCCCATTAATAATCGACAAACAGAAGGTATTTACAGATTAATCTAGTTATTCTCATCCACTGATCCTTTGCAGTATTTTTCTTGGTAAGGAAACAAAAGGAAAACAAAATTAAAACTGCTAGTCTTTTCCTAGGAAAATCCTCACAATGACAGGAGCTTTTAGACCTTGTATGGGGAAAACATGCAAATACCTACCTGAAATAGCAAAGAAGCTTGTTAGTAAAAAGTAAAATGTTACTACATCCTCTTTTACTCCTAAGATTCCTAAGCCAACAAACTCTCTGAAACCAAAATAAAAATTAACTAATCTATCAGGTATAATAATTGGGGGGAAACCACCAGAGCTACAAAATTCAGTATCATGTATGCAGGTACTAGTCAGTAAAGAGAGTAAGGGGGGAAAACATCCAACACATTTTTTATTACAGAAAAACATATTTTTGTATTTTAAATATTCTTATTACCTTAGCAAACCACAAGGTAAACATGTTATTTAGCCTCAATAAAAACATGGAATTCCTTTCCCATCTTAAAAATAAATGACACCTACCAATGTAAAGATTTTAAATAAAAAACAAAAAAGCACCGAAGAAAGATAATACATGAGAAAATTTTGTGAGCCCATGTTAACTAAGATAAAAAATATTGTTCTTTAAGACAGCACTGGGGCACCTGTGTGGCTCAGTCGGTCAAGCATCCGACGTTGGCTCAGGTCATGATCTTGCAGTTTGTGGGTTCGAGCCCCGCATGGGGCTCTGTGCTGACAGCTCAGAGCCTAGAGCCTATTTCGGATTCTGTGTCTCCTCTCTGGGCCCGCCACCCCTCCTCCATCCTCATGCTCTTTTTCTGTCTCTCAATAATAAATAAATGTTTAAAAAAAAAAAATTAAAAAAAAAAATAAAAGACAGCATGAAGAAAGTACCATTTCAGGAAAATATTCATAATTTAGGATGTAAAGCTATTCTACTAGTAATTAAAGACTTGTGTGTAAAGGAATATTGCTATGTTCTATTCTTTTAAGCTTCTTAGAGAAGCAGCGCTTCAAAACAATAGGTACTGAATTCTAAAACGACTTCTTGACTGAACCTGAAAAAATCAGGTTTGAGTTATTCATGATTTTTTACTCTAGTTGTCAAAGTTGACCACTAACACTTAAATGCAAGAAGAGGCAAAAAGCAACTCTGAAGCCATAATTTTTGGCATAGCTAATTCATTACATTATACTGGCTAAACCAAGGAAGGGTATTAAGTCTGTAATGAGTCTTCTATTACATCTCTCATACATAAAACAAGATATGCAAAATTCCTGTATCCACAGATGTACACTTAAGAAAATGAGTTCTAGAACTACTACAAACACCCTGACCACAACAGAAATACTTTTATCTTTTCAATTAGTATAAAATATACTACCAGTCTTTTTTAGTCTACCTGAAGTGACTGATAATCAGTATTCCATTTAATTTACACAAGCTTAACTACAACTGTTTTAATAACCTTTTAGTAATGACACCCTGAAGACTTCCAAATTGAGAACGCTCAATTTTATAAAGGAAAAGAAAAACCAAAGAAAGAAAAAGTTGAGACCAACACCTGATATTCATTATAGGAATCCTATATCATAGTGAAGCTAGACTGAATGTTTGATTCTCACCAGTACATCATTGCAGATATCTCTGAGCTCGGTCTCAATTTTCTCTCTGTATTCTCGAGCCATCTGCTGTTTTTTCTCAGCACCTTCCGTCTTTTGCTCAATACTTGAGACGACCCTCCAAGATGACCTACGGGCTCCTACAACATTTTTATAAGCAACTGAGAGAAGATTCCTCTCCTCATTGGATAATTCAGCTCCTTGTTCAGTTACAGACTTCATGCAGGCTGCCATGTCATCATATCGCTCAGCCTGCTCGGCCAGCTTGGCCTTCTGCACCAGCTCATTTTTATCCATGACTGGATGTTCTGCAGGGAAAAAAAGTAACATTCAGATATTTTTTTCCATGAAAATAAAGACTAAGTATTATACCTTTTGTAAATGTTAGATTAACACCTCAAACCTAATTGCCTGTGGAAGAGTCTTCACGTGAGGAATTTAATGCAGCCCTACAAAAGGATGACAATAGGAAGAAGAAAAAAAAAAAAAGGGAAGGAGAAGGGAGAATGCCCTCAGCCTTCAGGGGGCAAATTTAAAGCCATTAACATAAATGTAGCAAAACTAAAATTGCATTACATCATCTCTGCTCAGAAGATTCTAATTTCACATAAAGTCAAAGCACATTTGATCAAAAGGCTACCTTAAAATCCATCCCTTACCTTACTTGGCCAAAATCTCAATTCCAATTTCCAATATCCTAAGTAATCCAAAAGTCAGCAGTTTTTCTTTAGTGAAAGCAGTGCCAATGAAGAACGTTACAACCTCTACCATTTTTCCAGAACCATGATTCAAGTCAGCTTAATGTAATTCGTGTCTGTTCATTTTAATAATACCTACTGTTATAGTCAGAAGCATTTAAGTTTACATTTTATTGGTATTACTCCCACCCCAAACCCAGTGATCTCTGCAACACTTGACAGCTGATCTTGGCATGATAGTTTTCTGGAAGAACGGGCCAAACTGCTTGATTTAAGGCATTCTGAATACAAAACAAACAACCTCGCCTTTGCCATCTAACAGACCCTGACACCTCATCTACCTGCACCTTGTTATACACATACATGCTTTAAAAACACATCGATGAGTCCTGACTCTTACCTTCATGTGAGCACTAAGATGTATTTATTAAGTGCTTCTAGTGTGATTGGTGTTTCTTATGTCACTGCTCTAGTTTAAATGCAGAGAGTTATTGCATTATTTCCAGTCGTCAAAATTTAACTGGTTTTATGACCACTCAAGCTGCCCTTACCATAACTTCCCACCTAATTCTCTCTCATCTTCAAGTTCCCTAGACCTTTTTTAACTTACCCGTTATACTTTTCCTTAAAGATATCCTTTTGAAAGGTGCTAAAACAGCACAGAAAGATGCTAAACCATACCCTGATCCCACAGCAAGTGGTAAATATAGAGCCTGAAGTGCACTATTAAAAGGTGAACAGAAAAGCCACTGTCACTAGAAGAATTGACACCCGGTATCAGATCCTTCACCTTCTCAGGAAAATCCCACAATACTTCTCTTTTAAAGCCAAATCGGAACAAGGTGAACAAGTAACCACCTAGCTTGGGTTCAAGGGATAACGTGTCAAAGCGAAACTATTTAAAATTTATGATTACATACCCCCCACACCCCTCAAAATTACTAATTTTCCCCCTAGGATCTCAAGAACGCTCTTGGGTTAATGCTGCTTCTAACGAAAAATTATCAAAAACCAGTACAAAGGTTTCTCTCCCCAACCCCTCTGGTACAGGGGGAAGTGGATCGGGCTTCTCACACAGTAACTAGTACTCCAAGGCCTCGCCTCTGTACTGCGGAGAAGACTAGCCGCACCCATTTAACCCTTAACCGACGTAAGACGTCGAGTGAGGTGAAACGAACACTGGCAGACCTTGACTTTAAAGTGCAAATCCTTCCGTCCGCGCTATCCGCAACCACCCCTCCTTGGCTCCGCCCAAGTCCCCGATTCTCCCTCTTTGTCATGGCGGATCTGTGTCAAGGAGCCCAACCTACCGCCGAGTGTTAATTCCCCCCACCAGAGCAAGAGGGAGGAGCAGCGCGCCCCCGCCCGAGCCGGGGAAGGGGGGGGGGGGAGAGCAGCCCGCCCGCCCCGGGGGCAGAGACGCCAGCGCCGCCCGCAGAAGCGGAACCACGACCCGCCGGGCGGCGGACACACCCCACTCTCCCACCCGCGTCTCCTCCGCCACCGGACACCGCTGGTGCTCATTTAGTCTATAAGGACCCGACAGCTGCAGCAGGTGGGGGAGGGGGCAAGAGCCACACCCAGGCGAGCGGGGCCACAGCCGGCTGTTACGCTCAGCCTCACCCGCCCCAAGAGGAGGTCACCATCTAAAAAGCGAGCACAGGGACCCTCGGTTCAAGCCCACCAGACAGACGAGCGAGACGCCGGCCCACCGTCTTCCCCATTCTCTTCTCTATCCCCGCCCTGGGCGCACAGCCCCCATGCACCCGAAGGAAAAACAAAAAAACAAACAAACAAAAAAAAACCCAGCCCCATCCCCCACCCTACCGCGGAACCCAGGAAATTCGGCCCCGGGTCCCAGGCCAGCCCCACCCCGGAGCCGGCTCCGGCCCGTGCCAGAAGGGAGGCCTCGCCCTCGTGTACCTGGCGGGCGCCTCCGGCCCGGCCTCGGCTCGCGGCCCGGTCCCCAGGCCCGGCCCTGCCGCCGCGCCGCCGCCCGGGTGGGGGAGGGCTG